TTTTGAGAAGAAAATAGCCACTCAATCCTCGATGCCAAATATTTATTTGTCAGCAGAATGAGAATATGAATTTATATAAATTTGACAAACACAAAGATTGATAAAATGCACACACTGATCAAAAAATCGAATTTAGCAAAGCCCGCAAAATGACTAATATGAGACCATTTCATCATATACCCTGCCGTTAAAACATTTTTTTTCAGTTTAGATCAATGGGCTAATAAAACATTTTCTCACAGTTTTGAACATAATGGCTACTTATTTTAGGGATAGTAATTGTCATAGCATATGATAGAATGGAGTGGAAGAATAAAGTGGTTTTAAATTAAACTTTATGTAAATGATAAAATTATCAGAAAATGCAAAATAAGAGAGGACTTAATAATTTAGGACTACAGCGTAGACCTTGAATCCAACATAGGTTTTAATAAATCTCCTAATGGAGGAGTTTTGAACTAAGTTTGTTCATGGATTTCAAAGTGGTATTATACCGAAGTCAATTTGGTCAGATTCTCTTTGGTTTGAAATTAAGTTAAATTCAGCTTTATTTAAAAGAATTATATCAAATGCAATAGCAGATATCTTGCATCTTAAGTATGCTCATGGCGAATTTATCATGTAAGTTAGCTCACACATGTCTGCTAAACACAAGCACACACACACAAAGTTTAGATAAATATATATACAATACACACAGTGGATGAAGGCAAGATAAAAAGTTAATAGTTGCCTAAGCTATGTCTCGTTTGGTTGTTTGATGATGCATTTAATCGATAGATCCATTTGACTAAGTGCTTGTGTCAAGGTGTCCTGCTATGAAGAAAATCACTTATCTACTAAGCCCCCAAGCTTTCACCAAGGACTGGGACGCAGTACGAGAAATAGTGAAATCTTAATGATGGGATATTCAAACAAATATTAAGAGGACCGAAAACAGTTTCACTTCAGCAGCTTCTTTTTAGACGGATTAATGAAAAATGTTTTCGTACTTATCATCTCGTCTGGAATGACGTGAGGAAGGGATTCGAAAATTGACCCGATTGAAAATCAACGTAAAATTAAAGTTGTATGACCTCGTTTTCGCATCTTGATCGTGTTGTCGGCGCGACCTGGTTGGAGGCACCTTTTCCTAAGTCCTGTGCTAAAGTAGTTATCATAATTCGCAGCGTTGGACGGTGGACTTGGTACATTTTTAGACGGTTTGTCGACATCGTAGTCGGCATTGTCACCGAGACATGTCAATCTTAGCACCAAACTACAACTCGTCAAATAGACAAATTAACTAAATCATTTGACATATTTCTGTCCAACGGCCGTGCCATCATTTCGCTTTTTGTCCTGGCCACTCTATCTATTCCAGATCCTTGTATCTTACTCTTGCCCTATCCAAAATGGTGACTTATTTAGATTCAATTTCTCTAAGAGTGTGTACTTTGTGGCGAGTTTAGTGAGGCGTTATCACATTTGCTTGTTTGCCTTGCCTCTCCTCATCTCGGTTTGCTGAAATTGATGGTCCGACTTGAACCTCCCTCACCGCCCCTAAGATTTGTTTCTTATCTTGCTGGTTGACCGATTTCACTCGGTTGCAGTCATAATATAGATTTCACTCCAGGCGCTATTTCTCAAGATCTGCTATAACCGTTCAAAAGAAAGTTAATCGAGGGATTAATATCATTTCAGACTCTTCAACGCGTTGTCGCTAGCTTCTTATAATTAAAACTCACTGACAATGCCGGAAAAACGTCTTGGAATGCGTCAAGTCGGACGAAAGCTCAGCGCGAAGTCATCGGGGTCGTCGGACGGTGAGCCAAGTTCTTCTTCACACAAGTGAACAGACACAACTCCGGAACAACTCTCCTTCGGTATCCGGTGAGGCCAATCTATGAATCCATTAAAACGGTCTTCTCAGACGAAATTAAAGATATGCCAGTTCCAATCTACTAATGGGTTCATTTAAACCTAGCTCCTCTTCATATAATGTATCAAGTCCATGGTCGAAAGCTGGGAATTATGATAACTATTATAGCTGAGGACATCGGACGGAAGATTTAGTTGGTTTTGTGGTCAGAATTGATTGACGAAGTCAGTATACGCCAACGAATCTGTGTTAGATAATGTCTGTCCTGTGACAGAAATCGCTAAATCTTGAAAGCATGTTTTGAAGAAAATTCATTAAGCTATAAGACAAAGGTGGTCGGTCCAACCCCTATTAAAAGGGTATTATTATTGTGTAGAAGTAGGTTTTCGAGACTACAAATAAGTCATACATATATAAGATGTATTCACCTGATTTCGTTTACAGCGATGAAGGACAAGATGCATTTTTCACAATGCTATGAGATAACCTTAGACATCAATAGAACTTGACATAGCCTTGCTTCCCGAACGGTATTATCATCCAGGGAATTGTAAGGCCAAAGCATATAATGATGGGAAAATTTAACCACCAGTTCTTAATTTCCTTAAACAAAATAGGGTTAATACGGCTCTTGCATAAGATTCCATGAACTTAAAGGCAACTTTATATCCCAATTGAATCCGTCTGATAATAAATTAATTGTAAAAAGATCTGTGACAAATTCAAAGAATTTCAGTCGCAGTAGAATCAGATAATGCTGCACATTTTCTGGACCAGAACACCACCATATGCAGTAACTTCCTACCCAAATGATAGCTTTCCTCATAATCCTGGCATACAAAATTTAGAGAATGTCTGATCTAGAGCGTATTGCGATCTTATAACCGCTCAGCGGGTCCCAATAAAGATGAAA